GGAGTAATGATGCTGAAAATACAGCTTTGATCACAGAAATAAATGACATTTTACAATATATTCATATAGAAAATGGTTATTTTAAACTGTAATAATATTTCACAGTATTAATGTTTTTACAGTACTATTGAATATGTATATATATATATATATATATATATGTTTTTTTCCAAATGTTAAACCTCTCTATGAGTGTACTGCTGTTTAAATGTTTGCTGTCATGAAGAGGCTATACGGTGACGTCAAAGAAGGGTGCGGAATAGAAATTATAACATGTCCATGTTTCTAATCTAAATCTGTGAGAGGGTCGGTGGTGGACAGAAAAGAGATTCATTGATTCATTCATTCATTCAGGACTGGTAGACACATGGCTGGAGCGTTTAATAACATCTCGGCCTTCACAGCTCTGTGTCAGTAAACAGACCAAGACCCTCCTGCAAACCGTCTGCAGACTAACAAAATCACACCATCTTCAACTGCAGACTACATACACACACAAGACAACTTAAAGCAATAGTTCACCCAAAAATGAAAATGTTCTGGAAATCTACAAATCTGCCATCACAATAATCCACAAGTAATCCACAGCACTCCAGTCCATCAGTTAATGTGTTGAGAAGCCAAAAGAAACAAATCCATCATTAAGACGCTTTTAACTTTAAACCGTTGCTTCCGGCTAAAATATGAGTGAGCAAGTGATGGAATGCAACATTTCTCCAAATCTAATGACGAAAAACAAACTCATCTACATCTTGGGTGACCTGAGGGTGAGGGTATTTTCAGTTTAAGTCGAAGCACTGAAATTACTAACTGTAAAAAAATAAAATAAACTGAAATATAAATTGCACCCAAAGAAAAAATAGTAATGACAAAAGCACATAAAATTACTAAATTATTTTAAATGAAAAAAAAAAAAAACATGAACTGAAATAAAATGAAGATTTTCATTTAGTTTAAGCAGTCTAAATAAACTAAAGCTAAAAACTGAAATATAATAAAAACTATTTAAAAAAAACTAATAAAAATGACAAGCACAAAGATTACTAAAACTTTAACTTAAAATGAAAGTATAACAATAAAAGCCAATTCAAAATGTTAATAAAAACTATAAATAATGCTAAAATAACACTGGATCCCAAAGCATTGTGGGATTTCTTTCTCCATGCACAGACTGTTTGTCTTTAGAGAGAATATATTAGATATTAGCTGAACTGCATGTAAATATTCAGAAAAGGGACATTTGGTCCTGTTTACGTCTGCAGCTCAGTTTCCATCTCAGAGTTTGTGAAGCTTGAAAAGTGAAAAAGCAGAAATGTCAAAGTTTTTGCTCATTAGGAAATATTAAATATAAACTACATTTGTTCAGAAGTCAGAATCAGACTGAAAAATCTCCCAGCACGGACCTCAAGCGTGAAGACTTTCATCCAAACGGTTCGACCCAGTTAAACTTTTCCTCTCCTGTACAGTAAATACCGAAGGAGGCTGTAAAACGTCTCGGACTCTGATGTCTTTGGCTCGATTTAATCTCAGCTCTCATTCCTTTGGTGCTTGAGAAGGTTTCGTCCCACATCTACACGTCTTTCTTGTTTAAACATCTCAGCTGAGAGCTCATTTACCCTTTTTTTGTATCGAATGAACCTGTGATCTAATGAAGAAAGAGTTTAGAAAAGAACCACAATGCATTTTCTCTATTACATTCTCTGCATTTCTCTTTATTGCCAATCAAACCACAAACGACCTCGTTCATCCAAGTCAAGCATTCATGGAAAGAGTTTTATAATCATGGCAAAAACAAAGGAAGCTCGCAGCAAACATTTCAAGATGTTTCAGACATATCAACTGAAACAACTTAAGAAATATGTAATAAAAAGCCAAAATGTCCCTCAATATTATCTTAGTTTAAAAGATAATGTTTATATTTTGCATAACCTATGCAATAAATACAAACACTAACATACTAATCTATTAATTGATAGCTCTTCATTTAAAATAAATGTAAAATTACATTCTATTATAATGCAAACATCCCAAAAACATGTTGATTTGATTTAAAATAGCTTGCAATAGGGCAAGAAATCAAACTCATCCGAAATAGATACAGTACATTTGTCATAAATTTTACTCCTGCAACTATATGGAGAGTTTCAAGCTACTAAAAAGAGCTTTAAATTAAAATACTATAATTAAACCTATTATATAGGCCTTTAAAAATCAACTCCGACCCAAGGGCTTTACATCCTGTGGAAACAGAAAGAAAGAAATTATTGGATTATTGCTCTGATCTCATATTTGTGAAATATTAATGTGATGAGGTAAATAAAAAAATGCATTTCCTCACCCAGTTAAGATGCAGGTTCTTGTTTGGATGTAAACGCCGGTGTAAATGACCTCACATCGCACAACGTTGTTGGAGAAGTCCGATTCGGGCACCAGGAAGTCTGGATTGACTGTAACCTGGACAGGAAGTGAAACGCACATCAACAACAGGATCCGGTTCGGAAAATGTCTCTACATCAGCTTTATATCTCATACCTTGAGAACGTAGTTTCCAGGAGGGACGTCTGTGATGTCGATCCACTGGCAGTCGATGTTGGCAGCGTATGTGTCGTGGCAGCCTGGACTCAAACCCTGAAAATACAGCAATAATATCTCTATTAAACCAAAACACAGAATACGATTAGCACAAATCTGTCTTCTTTAGATTGATTGTCATTAGAACTAAAATTATAAATGTTTTATTAATTGAAATTAAGCTAAAATAAAATAAAACATGAGTAGAAAAACTTGAATGAAAATTAGAAATCAGAAATGTTTTACAGTTAGTCGCCTTGGCTACTATAATATTTCTATTAATCAAAACACTAAATACATCAAGCACAAATTCATCTCAACCAGGGTAATTATTGTCTAAACTGAAATTGTTTTTGTTTTTTTTTGTTAATTGAAATAAAGCTGAAATAAAATAAAATTAAATATAAATATGAAATGAAAAACTTAAACTAAATGGAAATTAAAAATGGTGCCTTGGCAACTAACTGTAATAATTGCTGTATGCAAGAATACAGCAATAATAACTCAATAATCAGCAATAATGTTTCATCCAGGGTTATTATCACTAAAACTAAAAGTGTTACTATTTATTTATTGTTTATTGAAATGAGGTAGAAATAAAATAAAATGAATTATAAAATATGAGATAAAAAAGACTTGAATTAACTGGAAATAAATAAAAACTAAAACTGAAACAAAAATAAATTAGTAAATAGTAATATAAAAAACAAATGAATAAAAATGACAAAAGCACATAACAAAATTACCAAAAGTTAAAAAATTGAAAATTAAAAATATAACAATAAAAGCTCATTCAAAATATAAATAAAAACTTTAATAGTATATAAATACTACTAGTCTCATAGTGTTATTGAGATTCTATTATAATTTTCATTAATATTTCAAATGCGTTTTTTTACTTTTAGTGAACTATAATAACGCTGCTGTGCATTGTGGGAGACTGTGATTTGTGTGTGTGTGTGTGTGTGTGTGTTAGTACCTGTGTGTGTGCAGTGCAGGCGTATCGGCAGTGAAATCCAGGATCACAGCCCGTATCTTCCAGACAGAAACTGGCCTTGTGACCCTCAGCGACCTTCAGTCCAGTGTTGATGTCCAGCAGATCATAGTGACTGAACGCATCCATGCTGTGATAGTGCCTGTCATATATCACACCGTTCATACGGATGAGTCTCATCATGCACTTCTCATGTGTTATGATTAACTCCACTATTAATACACACACATAATGATTTGAACAAACACCCTAGCAACCGCATAGCAACCCATTGAAATGCATCACTCACATAAGATTTATAAAACACATAGATCCGATTCTAAATTCTGATTGCATGGTGGTTTTCTCTAATTTTTAAAACTAATAAATATAACTTTTTATTGAACATTAATGTGTTTTATAATATTGCTGTTGCTGTCATTTTATAATAAGTAAGATGCATGAATTGCAGTGAGTGCATTACAGTAAGGTTTTTATTATTGATAATTTTATCATAATTTATAATAATATTCACATCCCCCTGCATCATATTTGCTCATTTTGGGCTGCTGATTTTAAAAATACTGCCTGTTTTACTGGAGCACGTCACAGTTTCACACAAAATATGGGCATTTTGTAGCATTATTGCTTTCGACAAGCATTTGTAAGGAGAAAAAGTCTCATATTCTCCCTCAATCAGCAGAAAAAGACTACAAACACACGATTCCTGTCTGAATCTGAGCCAGATCAAAACTATCAGTTCAATTCTCAGCCATTTTCACATATATGACATTATTTGATGCCTAATCCTGATTTCAGTGTTGGAATTATGGCCAGTGCCTGCTGTTTTCTGCTGCATCTGTGTTGATGTAGTAAGTATTTGAACATATTTTTGCAGATTGTAAGTTAAATGATACATTTTGAAAACTTATTTTTGGAACTTTTGACATTTGAGTGCTTTTGTTATTTTGATAAGTGCATTAAAGCTGATATATTAATAATTTGAAAAATCTTCAGTCTTATTTTGTGAAAAAAAAAAAAACGTCCATGATTGAAAGTATTTATTGATATTTTTAACTCAGCATCATCAAATTAGGTAATATTAGTCTTTTTTTTTTTTTTTTTTTTCAAATCCTC